ATATTGTTGCCGGAGTTCCACCGAAATGTCGATCACACGCACTGCACGAAGTGTACTAACGAGAAAGTTGTTTAGGAAGTCTGACTGTGATTTTTTTTGATTGGTCATTTCTCCCTTACTGCCATCCCGGAATTACCCTATTCGTAGGCCATACAAATATATATTCCGGGCGCGATCTCTCAATTATGTTTCTGTTTATGATAGAGGTCTTAATGTATTAGCATAAACAATTGTAATTGATAACGTTAATTAGTAGATAATTGAAAAAAAAGAAAATCTAATGTAGATCAGATTCGGAATATGTAGTTGATCAATTTTTTTTTTAAATTGAAGTGTCAAATGTATTAATAATCCACCTGATGGTAAGAGTTTACAGTAGCCTATGGATACCTAAAACCGACTTCATATAATTAAAAATTAAAATAAAAAAATTTGTGCAACCGACTTCAATATAAATTATTAAGAATAACTCAAAAACTATTCGTCAGACCTTGGTCAAATTTATATGGGACCACATGATGACTTTCAAATAAAAAATAATCATCGAAATCGGTTCACCCAGAAAAAATGATATAACACTCATAAAAAAAACATACAGTCGAATAGAGTACCTCCTCCTTTTTGAAGTCGGCAGAAAAGAAGTCTACAGATGAGTTGTTACGTGTAACTTCTGAAGACTAAGTTAGAACAAGCTGTGAGTCACAGTCTGTAATTATATCGGCTCTCTACATCATTCTGACTAAAGCTCAGAAGTACACGAACTGCTACTTAGAAATAAGTAAGAGTGTAGTAGGAGAAAGTAGAACAGAATAAAATATAATAGAATAATTTTTGTTCAATATAGATTACAGTACATAATACTTATTGAAAGTCGTTCGCCTTTCAATAAGTAGCAATAAACGCAGGCGAGGACTGAAACTCGCCGTAAAATTCATAAGAAAAGTTGAAAGAAGAAGAGAAGAAGAAGATTATTGTAATATTTAGCAGTGGAAAAAAACACAAATAACTTCCCTATTTACTATTCATATCAATAGTGCAAAGAACGTGAGAAACCAGTGGGAACGGACTGCTTAGGTGGAAGTGGCACGGGCTAATCTGTCACTTTGCTTAGTATTAACGTATATAAAATAAATTATATACGATATAGACTGTTATTTGACGATATAACCTATTGTTTGAGTTCCAAATAATAGGTTATTAATTTCAATAATCGATAGTCGGATAGTCGGATAGTGGAAGGGGATAGAAATAGAAAATAGCGAACGTTTACATTTTTGTAATAAACGGCTCTACCAAGCTTTAATTACATAATGTCTACTTTGTACCTCTGCAAGAGAATAAGGACATGGCAATTACGATTAATGTATCGGTGATAATATACAATATTACCTATTCTTTTTGACTTCCAAATTGCTGACAATCCGAGCGTTTCCATCACTCAGTGATTGGCCGCATTGAGTAAATTGATTGACGGAAAACTTATTTCATTCGTGGCGCTATTTTTATTTTATATCAACATTGAAAGTTATTTTTTTTAAACTACTTTAAGTCAGTGCTTATCGCACCTCATAGTAAGTAGTGATGTAGTCGATAAAATTAAAAAAATTTGAAGTTACAGCCTCTCCTCATTTCTGAGAGGGTTTTAGGGCAAGGAAATGTCGGCCGCGCTGCTCAAACGTGTCGCGTGTTGGCGAACTTCACATGTTTTCGAAATTTCTTTTTCTTATTTCTCAGACATGCAGATTTCCTCACGATGTTTCCTTCACCGCCGAGCATGTGGTAAATTAGCACGTTAAATTGCAATTAACAATTTAATTGGTGCCAACGGCGATCGAACCCGGGTTGCTCGCGTACTGTGAAATTTACAGGGAGCGCTAACCATCTGACCTACCACAACTCTTAGCTAAAGAAAACTAATTAAGAGGAACAAAATTTAATTTAAACTTAAGAAAATTGGATTCCACAATTATCTACACTACAACATAAACTTATAAATTTGTAACATTTAGGAAGAATTTTTTCGCTCACTGTGAATTTCAATTATAAGCTAAATAAATTTATAATCAACGCTTCGAGGAAGCTCGCTGAATAACAGATGTTTCCTTTGGATTTTGTGCAATGCTTTATTTTTTACAAGGAACGTACAAGTGGATTGGCATTCTTCTGGATATAACGGAAGCGCCACTATCGCGCCAGGATTTTATTTTGTCATATCGCTATTTATTTTTTACGCTTTGCAAATCATGCTCAGCTAAAAGATAAAATTGTGTAGCGATTCATTCAGTAGTTTTTACTTTTCTTGTGCCAAAAATATCCAGTTTAGTTCCTAAATAGATTTTATTTTATAAATTTAATTTTATTTTTTAATTTTACCTAAATATAAATATCTAACGAAGGGTATTGTTTTATGATTTTATTATCGTGTTAATAAAAGACCGAAATATTAAAAAAAAATAGAAACTGATTTAAAACTAGATGTGGTTAAATTTTATATAGAAATGAAAGTACATGTTGTATACCCTTTCAAAATAACATTAACAAAATCGGTTAGTAAAAACGGAGATATCAGTCACTTCAGTCGTCTTCAAAATTACCACCACTAGTAGTTTTAAAAGCGTTACCTTAAAAATGATATGTATCTAACTTTTTTATAATGCTGTTTTTTATTAAGAACTTAATAGACGTCTTTATATTATAATGCATTATTCTTTGTTTCTTTCTTTTTTGCAATGTTTTGCACTTTTATCTATTTCTCATAAAAAATATAAAGAGTGGGAATGCTATTGTTTTATTCTTGCAATTTCCCACCATTTGACTTAGTTTACCCGCAAACCTAACGGAAGGGCATATGTGGATCTCGTGACTCCCTCCCATATCCTGCCGGAAGTGCGCGGATGTTACGTCACCGGAAACAGACGCCCTCTGTGTCATCGCGTGTCGTCACCGTCGTCATCGGCACGCGCTAATCATCGCGGGATAATTATCAGCGCGACTCTGTAACGTTTGCACCCTATCATTGGTCAAACTTGAGTCATAATGCAAATGAATGAGAATAATTGACGTTACGTTTAGATCATAACAAATTACGCCTGCTCTGCTTCATCACCCTTTTAAAAAGGAGCAAGCGAATATACTAAGCTGTGGTCCGTGGTGACGGCGTAAGAGAATTCATCACTCCCATTTTGTCCCGTGGTTGTGTATGGCAAATTCCAGAAAATTCTTACGGCTTCCTGTTCACGTTTGACGTAAAAAAGCCACATCGGCAACGGGCAGCAGCGTCAACAATGCTGTGTGGTCATCACTCCGCCTGCCAAGCGTTGCGTTTAAGGCAAGGTTACGTCAGTGGACTTTTACGGGTTGATGAAATAGAAGAAGAAAGAGAAGAATATTCTTCTTCTGTTATATGAGGAAAATATGTTATTGCATACATTTTTTTGAAAATAAATTGCAACAAACGTTATTTTTCAAGGGTTTTTTTTTGATGTATTGAATTGTTTGAATTTAATTCATCAAAAAAAACCCTTGAAAAAAATTCCCCAATCCACAAAATGCTGTTGAAGATAGTGTTAAAATCGAAATAATTATCGAATCGAAATCGTAAATTATTTAATCGAAATAATAACATTTAAAAAAAAATTGTCTTGAATATTTGCATTGAGATTGTGTCTAATATATCTCCACTCTGTCATTAGCAGTTAAAACACTCGTCTTTAAACCCTCACATTCATCGCGAGGCAACGGAAATGAGAGTCATTAAATAATACCCAAATCGCATTCGTATTCCAACAGATACCAATGTCTCGGATCCGATGGAAAACAAACACAAGAAACAAAAAACTAATGGGGGCAATCGATCACCGCCAGTACTCCGTGGTTGTAATTATTTCCGAGCGGAAATGGATTTGAGATAATTCTGCAATTTATCCTCTTCGAACCTTCGCGCCGTGTGTCCTTACGTATCCGCAACGGGAGCCGTAAATATATTTTATCCCTTGGACCGTTTCCACGGCGGAACGTGAACTCGCGCGTTTGACGTCAACGTCACCACATTCCATATTTACGATCCCACCGAACACTTAATCATTTGCGGGAGGACGTTTAGCGTATGCTTATATATTAATCCAATCAAAATATGGTAATACCGGGCTGGTTTCTGATAACCCAGTGAAGGAATCAATTTGGCTGCGAGCAATTTACGACCATGTTTCCCCAATTAACTGGCGATTCAGTGGCTCTGATTATTTTGCGTAAAATGTGCGGGCGACTCCCGCATCCGGTAATTACGTCTACGGTATAATTTGTGATGCGCTTGCGCCGAACACAGCCGTCCTACGCACCGATTTTTGTTAGATAAAAAACGGAAGGGTTCGCCTTGCCCTGTTTCTGCGCGGTATACTTGTTTGTTTTTGTTTAAGTATTTTGCACCTGCCGAGTGCTTTGTTTTTCATCTTACCGGGCGGTTCTAAATGAGTTTGCGAGTCATATTTTAGTAGATGTTTCGCCGTCGTAAATATCGATCGTGCCCTCTTTTATTTACCGACTATATTTTAGACTATCGGTTTTTTTCATGTTTTAGTGATTTTTATTGGAACGTTTAATGCGGGTATTGCGTACTTCTGATATATTTTCAGTGTGGACTCATTTTTTTTTTCGTACAAATATTATGTAGTTTATACGTAATAGGCTTACATTTTTTCTTTTTTTAAAATCCTAATAATTCCGTCTCGACAAATTTTAATCGATATTATTAGTTTAGACACCATTAGTCGTACGATAATATTATGTCGTTCACAATTATTAACCACTCATGTGGAAGCTGAGTTTTTGAATGGGGTTTTCTATATTATGCTTACAGTTTGGATATTCATCTTATTTAGAATCATCATAACATAAGACCACCCTTATAGATTCCTTCATAGAAATGATATTTTTGATAATTATTAGACCGAATTATGTTTGTAATTGTTTTAATAATAAGCTCAAATTAATGTTTGTTACAGAGTCGGCGGGCATCGCTGGCGTCGTCGGGCGCGTGCCGGCGACCGGATGTGCCACCGGCGACATAATGTGGCTGCTTGATGAGCCCAATCAGCCTTATGAAGGTAATTACATAATTAAACTATCTAGTACTTGCATCTTACAATAAACGCTTAAGAAGCGTTTGACTTTAGTTTTATGTACGGGACACATATGATGACAGTTTGACAGTAAATTAATTATATCTCTTCGCATTTCAGATTGCGAGCAGCTGCTCTGCTTCCGGTATTACAATGGCGAGGGCGACGATTGCGTCGCAGAGTCTTCTACACTACCTCCACGCTTTAAGGTTGATCTCAAGAAACTGCCCCTACGCCTTAAAGAAGGCATTTCAAGGAAACGCAGTGGTGACCACGTGTCACCATTCTCGTATAACAACGAGAGTTTTGAAATGAATTCCGAGAACACACCAAGAGTGGAGCACGTATCAGGCACCAGTCAAGACATCAAGCATCTCAGTGAGAATGTTAACAAATGCTCAATTAGCGCTTTAGCAAGTAGCGATAATGAACTCCAACGAACAAAATGTGATCCTAGTAAATCTCGTAATAGTAACATAAGTAATGAATCTCAATCTGTAAATAGTGAATCTCTATGTTCCGCAGAAAATAAGCCTACGTCTTCGGGAGTAAAGAAAAAATATCCACCACCGGTCGACACAGGCGGCGTATTAGCTTTAAATGGTGTGAAGAAGAAATCGAAAACTAATAGTGGATTCGATTCGCCTACTTCGCCAGACACCGAGTATTACAAAATTTGGTCGCCAAAGAATCCTTGCAAAATAATGAAATTCGTATATGACGTCGAAGGTGCTAACGTGCCAAATGAAGCGGAAAAGTCTCCGGTACCTCCGTTACCACCGAGACAATCGCATAAACCACTGGAGAGAATGCACGCATTGTCTCCGCCGCAGGTACCGAGACATAGAAAGCCAAAAAAATTTACAAAACCCGAAGACGCATTCACTTTTGAATTAATAGACACAGATGAACAATTTTTCACAGATAAAAACATTAACCGTTCGTCAGCCTTACAGGGAGGAATATATGACTTTAAACCAGGAGAGTTTTTCTCTGGTAATCATGTAGCTATGTCCACGTCAACAAGTTTTTGGAGGGATGGCCAAAATGCAGCTCCTTTAGCGACACCTGAGACTGACGGCAGCTTATGTGAATCAACAGTTTCTTCCATGAAATTATCTAAATTAAAGGAGGATAAAAGAACAGATGACGCTCCTGATGGTTCGCCTAGTGTAAGTAGAAATAAAATGTTGTTCATTAAAGATATTGGTCCTGATAATTATATATCAACGACGTTTGCTCGAAAAGACAAGACAAATGTTGTGGCTGATGCCGTAGATGGATTAAATCCTACGCCAAACTATGCTAAGTCTGAAGAAAAAGCTCAGAATACGTTTTTGAACGATATCAGTAATCATTCGGAATTTGAAGACGATAATAGGAATCAAATCGAAGAGAAGGAGATAACAATTACGAAAGGACATAAGCCGCTTACTCGACAAAGCTCTGGCCGCGCTAGTACACCGACCATGATGACAGCTTTTTTAAACTCTTCACATATTGATGGTTCAAGTAGAGATATAGATAATAGTTCAAACGCACCTAGTTCCTGCAACTCTTCACATTCAGCTTCTCCTGTTGATGAAATCAGCAAACCATTTCCAAGCGTGGGTACGATGATTTTGAATCGAAAATACTCATGCGACAATTCATCGCCTAAACATTCTAGTCTACCTCGGCATCTGCTTAAGAATCTTGGCTGCGAAAGTACGCCAAAGCACTCGCCTCATAAAACTTCTAATAACTCTGAAAGTCCAATGAGACCGCATCCAAGAGTGCTGGCAAGAGTAGCGGCTTTGGCGGGAACTGCAACACCTCAGTGTCCACCGACACCCACCCACCACGCTAGAAGGCCAAGGCCTATTCCGCCACAAGATTTGCATCCCCCGCCAATACAGAACACTGAGAACTTCGAAATGGTGGAATTTACGAGTGAGCTAAGAACTTCGGAGATTAGATCTCCCAACCTTGAGTTTGTAAACAGTAATCACTTCACGATAGTGCATGCTGGGCCTCCTGACGATGTGGTGCTGAGGAGGCCACAGTCTGAAGACAATGATGATAATGACAATGCCGTTGCATCACCAACGCCTTTAAGACATATGGCTGGCATCAGGTTACCATCCATACCAGAACGTGCTTCAAGACAAATGGCATTAACGGGTGATTTTCCAGCGAATATGATTGGTGGAATCATCGAGTGTGAGGAACCCTTGCCTGCAGGTGTGTATTTTTAATTCTTTCTTTTCTAAAAAAAATTGCCCCTTATGCTAGGGTATTTTGTTGTATCGTGTAGGCGTTTTATATACAATCATTCCACATAGACCAGACCCGAAACAATTGTTTAGGGATGTACCTACAAACAATTGTTATGTGCGGCTTGGAACCCACGGCCCCGGAGTGCCGCAGCGCAGCCATTGCGCTACGGAGCCATCAACATATTATGGATTTATCTTTTGTATATGTTTTCAAAATAAATCAATATTATATTTCGTGGAACTAAAACGTACCTATAATAATAGCTGAACAAAGGCCTTGGCCAAGGAGTGCCACAAAACACTGTCTTACTACCATCGACTTCCTGAATCTCTTTCCAGGTCGTCACTACATCTAGAGTGGGGCTCCTACACCTCCTTTACCAGTGCAGATATAAGTAATCGATTATTTATCTATAAATAATATAATCGATTTTTTTTATTTATAATATACAATATTAAAGACTATAATAATAATAAAAAAAAACTAAAACTAGAAACTTAATTATCATATAGTCCTAGTCCCCGCGGTATCGTGCCAAGAACGCTGGCCGCGTTTCTCCGCTGAATGGCTATACTTAGCCTTTGAGAAAGAACAGAACCAGCCCTCTTATCACCAGCAGCAACGACCAGCCGCGGATGGAGTTCCTTTAAGAACTTCACCGCACGTGGACCACACGGACCGATAGTCTCTACAGCAAATTGCACAAATATGTAGTCATCTCTCAGAGACTCATATTTGCGCCACTTACTCAGTTCAGCTGCCTCTGATGCCGCCCCGGCTCTAAACGAGGTACCCCTGAGATGAGAGGCCGCCAGTGTCTATGCAAGTAGCATCCCACACTAGGGCTTTACCTCTCTCCCAAGGGACCAATGTCATACCGTCGGGTCTCCTGCCATCGTCTCTAAATATTCCACAAGGCTCTAAAACCGAGGGAACATTTATAGAGACAACAGCCCTTCGGATGAATATAATATAATATAAATATAATATAATATAATATAAATATAATATAATATAATCGATTAATTTTAATTTTTCAGGCTGGGAAGCGCGTATGGACAGTCATGGACGCGTGTTTTACATTGACCATATCAACAGGACGACGACGTGGTCGCGGCCCAGCGCGAACGGGACCGCTTCTCGCTCCCCAGCGCCTGAGGTGCAACGGAGACAACTCGATAGGAGGTTTCGATTTTTATTTATAATATGTTTTGCTAAATTTCACCACACTTCGAGTTGACCAGTAGAGCAAACATGCCTAATGGGATTAAAACCGCCGTTAGAGACAAATTAAAACAAATTAATTTAATAAAGATGAGATGAGGACAAATGCTGTGCGGTGGTGTAAAATCTTTCAGCTTCCGATAGAGGGTGGTATTACCATCTCGTGATTGTCAAGTGTAAAATACACACACCGGGGACGGGCATATTTTTTTATAGGATAGGGTGACAAACGAGCACACAGTCCACCTGATGGTAAGTGGTTGCTGTGGCCCATAGACATCTACATCTATCCTCGTTTGCGAGTCAAAATGCAGATGCGTTGTCACCCGTGAGGACTAAGATGGAATGCCTCTTTTCCAGTAAAATGGGTCTCCAGTTCTCTACACTCACCATAGGAAAGACGTGGTCCTTCCCCCGTCGAGCCGATCTATTCGTGCTATAACTATACTACTAATATAGCTGCAGCATGGCTCTACCACGTAAATGTCTCTTAATACGATCGTCAATTTGCCTGCAAAGCTTAGTGATTAAGACAAAACCTCTCTTATGAGCGAGCTAAAACTTGTCATTCTCATGATTTATGACAAATTTGCAGCATTCATACATACGTTATAATATTTTTTATTACGGAGACATAAACGATTCCGTTTCTAGCATACAAATAAGAAAGAACGTGATATTCAGCACGCATTTATGACTTAAGTTTAGACTTATATATATATTCTTTTTGAAATTGACAGCCTTCATTAACTTGACCAGTATGTATATGTGTGTATACGTAATATGTATGCATAAAATTATATAAATTTTAACCCAAAGGTTCGGAATTTTCAAAATAATCTGTATATTATAGACATGTTAGGAACCGATGACAATACAATAATTTTATGAATTAGATTTAGTATTGTCAAACATGCAGTGATATTTTTTTTAATTTTATGATCAGTTCAAATCATGTATAGTGGCGCATCTTAATATCCACATATCGTATTGTAGATGTCGTATAAGGCGACAGAAGGATATAAAAAGGAGATAGGCAGATGCATCTTCCTGATAACAGCTTAAAATAATTAAAAAAAAACTGCGGTTGTCAACCCGCCTACCAAGCGTGGCTACAACCCCCCTTAAGAGGCAATCTGTGGGGGAGGCCTATGTTCGGCAGGGGATTTTGGTAGCCTATAATGATGATGATTTTTTGACATACCGCATGTTATTCGCCTTATAAAGTCCCGACGGCTTTCTTGCTAGTTCTATTCAGAACTGGAGGTTTTCGAACCAGTAGTTAAAGAAAAAAATTAAATGAGATAGTATTTATTGAATTCTCCCACAATGCACTATGTACTATCAATTACATAACTTATTTGTTACAAACATTTTTTAAAGATCAAAAGACAATAAATTTGTGGGAGACGGGAGCCAAAATCTACTCTGTGCTATGGTACTGCTAGTTTTCACTCTTGGAAATAATTTTAGATGTTTTTGAGATAATTTTGCAACTATATTTAATTATTGATATATTATTTTTAATTAGAATTATGTACATTCTATATTGAATAAGGATTACATATTCTATTGTATTTAACGTTGACCACCCGTTGTGTGCTCGTCCGTCAGATACCAGTCGATCCGGCGCACGATGACGCGCACGCAGCTGGGCGACGAGGCGGGCGCGCCGGCGGGCCCGTCGCATGCGTCCCCCGCGCCCCCCGCGCCCGCCGCCGGCTCCCCCGTGGCCGCCGCCGCGTGCTGCGCGCCACCCGCGGCACACTTCGGCGCGCCCGCGCACTCCCCGCCGCCGCCCGCCGCGCCGCACCCCGCCGCCGAGTTTCTCGCGCGCCCTGACTTCTACTCTATATTGCATATGAACGAGGTACGTAGCATGGCTTAACGGTAGTAAAAGCATGTTTGAATTCCTGACACCTAGTGTAACCTTGTTTTGTACTAGATGGTAGGAAACCTTTACTGCCTAGGAGTTCATTTATGGCTACACCACCATCTTACCTATTTCTGTCGGTGTAGAGTTGCAGTATATTTAAGCATTTCATGTTAATCCTCAGAGATAACAACGCTTCTTACTCTTCTTTGATGTCCATGGGCTGCAAGAGTCACTTACCATGGACCCGTAAATACGTTAGTCACTTCAGTTTTAATACGGTAGACCTCGCGCGAGGAAACTTCAAGAGTTCATTTTTTTATAAAACCAAAGTGACAAATGAACTTACAGTTCATCTGATGGTAATTGGCTACTGTGGTCCATGGACCCAATAGACTTCTAACAAAGAAGGCTACATATGCGTTGACATCACTGAGAACTAAGATGGAATAATTTACAGTATCTAATTATACTGGCTCACCATACCTTTCAAACCGGAACATAGCCATTCAGGCACTGCTATTTGGCGGCAGAAATCGGTAAAAGGGTGGTACGTACCCAGACGTACGCCTAGAAGACTCCAGAAGAGGAATCCTGCCACCTAATGCTTTCTTGACATTCAAGAAATGTTTTTGTATACACTAATTTTAAATTAAAATAATTTGACTTTGACTATGAGGTTGGGTATTTTAGGAAGTAGAGGAAGTATAAGAAGTACTGGGAATTTTTTATAGTTATCTTAATCCACTTAATTCATTTGTCTAGAAGTTCTTTAGCCGGCATTAGATTAAAAGAGGCTTTTAAATTAGAAGGTAACCGTAGAACATAAAAAAAATCACAAACGAAGATAAGTAATTAATGACTAGGAAAATCTGAGCGACAGTAGCCTAATGGTACGGACTGCAAACTCGGAAAGTGATTGGTTCGTATCCATCTTTTGACTACTGCGGTGAACCATCCCAAACACAATAATTTAATCCCCCGGACTCACACTCGTTGAGTGGCATGGGAAGTAGCAAAGACAGGAGACGGAGACGTAGTGTGACTACAATATTCGTCATGCCGCACGTCATGGTCCTCGTCATGCTCATCGCTCCCTGTTTTGTCGGTTTTTGGGCGCTAGTCAAAGGACTGGCAATATGAGCGCGAGTGGCTGGTCACACACTCGCGCGAACGCGGCCCTAGTCGAGCACTCGTCACGTGTCATTTAAAAATCATTAATATTGTAGCTATTACACGAGTAAATAATATACAGAGAACAAGCTATCTCGACGACGGCAACGTATATTTCTTTTTATGACATTGATATAATTAGCTATAATAAATATGCACAGCTCGCACGCTGCAACAGTTTCAACATCCATTGTGTTGCAAACACGACTGTCACTGACCTAGTGCGTAGCTTCGCAATTAATTGCGCGAGTGGAGCAGTGTGTGCGAGGAGCAGAGCGATGAGCACCGCAAGGAGCATAGTGTGGCCGAGCCAATATGTTTTTAAAACTTAAGAAAGATTAATTAACGAAAATTCGTGTTCAGAAACAATTGGGATTACAGTATCATTACAGCCCAAACTGAACCCCATTTCTTTGATATTTTTTTTGGACTATTTAATCGCTTTTAATATATTACCTACCCAAAGGCAATAATTAATTATTTATATTGTCAAAATTATGTTTCATTTCTTCAGGCGGCTTATACTAAGCTACTACAAAATACTTATATCTACTATTTTAATACATTCACGCTTAACAATGCCTTATTTCGGTAATGACTTTTATATCCCTAGCGCCTGCGCATTTTAAGTAGCAATATTTATTATAACGACCGCATTTCATGTACTAACAGTATACAGTAAAGATTATTATCCTCAGTTATTCTTTCCACTGGAGATCCTATTTATTGATAATGAGACATTCCATTTTTGTCCCCAGATTTTAGATTTAGATTCTTAATAGAGTAAAGGTGAACTGCCTGCATCTTTAGAAGGTAACAATCAATCACCAATTCTGTTTCCGTTTCAGGAGGCATCGGCGCTGTACAATGGCAACTCAACGCTGAAACACATGATCTCCAAGATCCGGCGCGACACGTCGTCGTTCGAGCGCTACCAGCACAACCGCGATCTGGTGGCGCTCGTCAACATGTTCGCTGAGGAGGACCGCGAGCTGCCGCTCGGCTGGGACACCAAACTGGATCGCAACGGGAAGGTGTGTTACGCTACATAGAAAAGTAATATCAACGAGACTTCATTACAGTGTAACCGTTTTAAGTAGAGTCTCAAGCGAATTCTTCTCACTAATAAAGCTTAGCGATCAAAACTTAAATGGGGCCTATACATCACAATCAATGCGCGGCTATCCACACAATCATGCATCCTACATATTTGTATTGGCACCTGTTCGAGATGGACGTTGAAACAGTAGCAGCTGCCGCTATTTATTTTAATTAGTTTATACATAACATACATAAACACTCACGCCTGTCACCCAGAGGGGTAGGCAGAGATTATGGACTTCCATTTGGTACGATCCTGACACACCTCTCTCGCTTCCTCCACATCCATATACCTACGCATACACGCTCGTCGGTTAAAGGTACTCTTGATTTGGCCCATTTTTAATATATCGCCAATTTGGTCGATAAACTTTCGCCTAGGGCGACCCTTCCCGACTATGCCGTTCACCTCTGTAACATAAATTTGCTTTGTCACTCTTTCCTCATTCATTCTTTCTACATGGCCAAACCACCGAAGCATTCCTTTCTTAATCCTGGTCACAACATCATCTTGCAAACCACACTCTTCTCTTATTAAACAATTTCTCACTCTGTCATTCAGCTTCATCCCTAACATACTCCTTAATGACCGCATTTCTACAGCATTTATTCTACTCTCATGCTTCTTCTGTCACACCCAACTTTTACTACCATACATTAAAGTAGGTACTAACACAGCATTGTGAATTGCCATACGTGCCTTTTTGGACACATTCTGACTTTTCACAATAGAGTGCAGAGCCCCATTAACTCTATTTCCTGCATTCACTCGTCGTTCTATATCCTTATCATATCTACCATCCCTGCTAAACACACATCCCAAATATACAAACTCATCTACTTGCTCTACCAACTCCCCTTCTAATCTTATTTCACATATCGTTTTACTTTCTTCTCTTTCAAAAACCATAACTTTCGTCTTACTTGCGTTCACTTTCACTCCCTTTTCTTTTAATGTCCTGTTCATTAATGTAACCATCATTTGCAACTCGGCTGCCGACGATGCAAGTATGACTTGATCATCGGCGTACAAAAGGCATTAGACGGTTAACTCACCCATTCTTAACCCGCATTCTTCTACTTTCAAATTTTCCAAACAACTGTCCATAAATAGGTTGAACAACCACGGGGAAGCCACACAGCCCTGTCTGACACCTTTATGGATGCCAAACTAGTCCGAGTAGGCCCCGTTGATCCTGACACAAGCACTAGAGTCCCTATATAGAGACTTCAATGCCTGTATCAGACCAGCGGTCAACCCAAATGAGTTCAGTGTTTGCCATAACACATCCCTGTCCACTCTGTCATAAGCGTTCTCCAAGTCTATGAACGCACAAAATCTTTTTGGTTTTTGGCCAAAAACTTCTCCGCGATCATGTGCATGGAAAAGACCTGATCCGTACATCCCATTCCCTTTCTAAATCCCGCTTGCACATCCCAAATTTTTCCATCAGTTTCTTTCATAACTCTTTCAATTAGTACCTTAGCATACAGTTTTCCCACAATGCTAAGAAGGCTGATACCACGGTAGTTTTTACAGTCCTGCTGTGATCCTTTTCCCTTATATATTGGGACTATCACGGCTTTGCACCAGTCTCCCGGTACCCGCTTAAGTTCCCAATATAAATTAAACAAGGTGTACAGCAGGTCTGCCACCACTCCTTCTCCAGCCCTTAGCATTTCGAGAGATACTCTATAATAACCGGCTGCCTTACCTGCTTTCATACTTTTCATTGCTTTCATTATTTCATCTATACTTATATCTCTATCTATTTCCTCTTCTTTCGGAATTTCTATTTCATTTAATTCAAACGTCTCATCACTCATAAACACGCTTTCAAAGTATTCCTTCCATCTCCTTAAACTCAAAACTTCGTCATTCAGAATACAGCCATTCTGGTCTCGTATAGCATTCATTCTAGGCTGTTGTGAATGTCCCCTGGTAGTTCTTACGAGTTTCCAGAACATTTTAATGTTTGCCTGGAAGTTATCCGATAATCTTCTATCATTCTTATCCGTTCTTTCTTGCTTTTTCCTTTCAACTACTTCGTTTACTCTCTTATTTAGGTGTCTAAAAACTGCCTTTTTCCTTTCAATATCATCATTCATACTGCTAGAATTACTAGCCTTGGTTGCTAGTAAATCTAGCCATGCTTTCTTCTTTGCTTCAACTTCCATCCGTACCTCATCATCCCACCATAACGTGTTATTTTTCCTTTCAATCGTTCTCTTACTTACACCACATACTTCAGTAGCTGCATCCACTAAACCTTTCTTGACATTATACCACACAGTCTCCAAGTCTAAATCATTCATACACAATTCAGCCATACCATTTATATTTTCTCTCAATCTGCATTTGTACTTCTCTTTCACACCTTCATCTTGTAACCGTCTCTGTTCTTTTACGCTGTAACGCAGTGGTAGAGATTAGTTTATAATATAACTATTATTGAAATATAGACCATAACAGAGTGGTGAAAAAAAGGAAGTTGTTCTATTTTTACTTGTTCTATTTCGGTGTAATGTTAACTATGCACCGAAACAGAACAAGGTAAGTTTATAGACCATCGGCGTTCGGCGATCATGTAGACGCGTGCACGATCTTGGCCGAACTTCCTTTGATATTTGCCTATAATCGCCCATGATCGGTGATGATCGAGCGTAATGGCTGCTGTGTCGGTTTTTCGGACAATCATCAAAGGAACTTCGGCCATGATCGTGCACGCGTCTACATGATCGCCGATGCTCTATAAACTTGATTTATTTCGGTGTATAGTTAACATCCTCCTTTTTTGCTTCCTTTTTTCACTTCTCTTTTAAGGTGTACATTTAAATAATGGATATATATAATGGTATATAGGTTAATAAATACCAGCAGATGCAACTGTTTCAACGTCCATCTCGGACAGATGACAATACAAATATGTAGGATGCACGATCGTGTGGGCAGCCGCGCAATTATTGTGTCAATCATGTTCCATTTTGTGGTTGTTAATCATGGCCGATGGTGTATACGCGGGGTTACGATTATGGGCAGTTATAGGCGATTATGCCCTCTACTTGTTCGTGATCGCTAGAATTTGTCCATTATGGCCGATGGTGTATAGGCCCTATTACAGATTAAGCGTTTGAGCAACGATACGAGGCAATGGCTTTAGCATTAATATAAATGCAGTTACCAGTGGTTTATATACCTTTTGACATTTATAAGAGCTTGAACCTCTAGGCATAAGCACAAGCCATGTATGTTCTTACTTTATGATGAATTTTAAACCGAATAAAATATTTTTGTTTTTGACTTTGACTTAACACATACGTCTACCACAATTACAGATAACTTTATTCTAGTCAGAAAATCACCATGTTAATGGAGTTTATATTATGGAGTACGTATGCACATACGCAGCTGCTCTTGGTGTATTATGTGATATATTTAATATTGTTCATGGACCTTAAATGTTTATAGGCCCTAGGAGTTCATGGACCTATCCTAGGAGTATAAATGTAGATGTCTATGGGATATGACATCCATTTACCATCAGGTGGATTGTGTGCTCATTTGTTACCTTTATTTTATATTAAAAAATGTGCGTGTAATTGCGTACACATGTATTAAGTGAAATTTCTTTACGACATATCATTCTTCTTTTATTTGATATTTTAAATAAGTAGTAATGTAGTTTAAATAATGGTATACTCATGCAGCCCCGGCGTTGAAACGTTTCAGGAAAACGTGAAGTTTTTGTTTTCTAATACCGTACAAAATTTCTCCACTATGTAGATAAAGAAATTTCACTTTAAAAATGTTTAAGTTTGTGTTGAGAGTGAGACGTAACGTGTGCGATAGTAGCGAGTTGTAACGAACGGTGCGTGCGTGCGCAGCGGTTCTTCGTGGACCACGTGGTACGGCGCACGACGTTCATGGACCCGCGCCTGCCGCGCGCGCCTCGTCCCGCCCGCGCGCCGCCCGGCCCCTTCTCGCCGCTGCTGCCGGCGCGCCGTCGAGCCGCGCACGCGCCGCACGCGCCGCACGCACTGCAGGCACGACACTCTCGCGCCACCGCGCCTCCCACCTGGAATCCTCGCAAACGATATCCTAAATCACGACGATCTTGACACATACTCCACAGCGAAAGGCAAAAGCGATCTGAAGTTATTCTTTGATAATCTTCAAGTCAGAATCCTCCCAAAAACATAAATTTGTCCGGTTCCGCAGGAGCAATGTACTTCAATCCTCAGCACACTAAATCTTAAAATAGGAATCACATCTCAATCGCAGATAATAATAGTGTTTTCGAGGGGAGACTGCTATCTTAAATTCTCCCAAAAAAGGACTATATCTCCTAAAGTATTAAGTCACAAATTTTTTTCTTAAGTCACTAATTGTCACCGATTTCTCACTACATCTTGACCTAATAAAATTTAGGATATCGCTAGGGAGGATTTCAGTTTGAAAGACGCTAGACTCTTACCGATGCACCGTCGCATCGCATGCCTTGCTCTACGCTCTTATTACACTACTTACAGCGACGACATTTTACAACTGCATTTACTAGGTGTTCGAACTCTTTACTATCTATTTTTTCGTTTATAATAAAGTTTAACGGTACACAATAAAACATGTAACATGTTATATATAAGACATAACATATAATACTATATATTGCTCCCAATCTAAATAAAAAAAAATTGCATCCAATACTACTACACTTTTGTGACCTTGACATGTAAAAAAGTATTCTTATTTAAAATACCAAGTTACAGTTTTACATCTTTATTTTGCAAGTATTATTCGTATATTCGTTATAGATTTTTATATATGATTAATAAAAAATGCTGTTGATTTTCCTTCGATCTGAAAGGTACAGAAAACCAGTATAATTATAAGCTGTTAAGCATTATAACAACTGAGAGCGTGGACGCAATGTATGTGAAATGACATTGCAAAATATTTTCGGCCTTACTCATAAAAATCGACGCCAATTGAAATGCTTAAAGTTGCTCTCTCTCTCTCTTTCACTAAATGACAATAGATGGAAACAGGAATAGAGATAAATAATAATAGAGATAAGTAAGTAGTAGTCATCGATTATAAGTAAGGCCGTTTGTGTTTTGTTAATTAGCACAGTTTAAAGAGTTAGTAATCGATCCTTTCTTATGTGTTATTGTTTGATTGATGATTTATTTATGTGTGGGTTTTTAATATTTTGGTATTGCCAATAAGATTTTATTATATCTGTTATATAAATTTGGGAAAATTGATTACATTATGCATGTGTTGTTTGATTTTGTTTAATTTTACTTGTTTTGTGTTGTCTATAGCTATAATTTGCAGATTTTTAGTAATTGCATGTTTAAAGTTTTATTGTAATTTTTGATGTACAAAAAATTAAATTAAAACTATCATTATTTACTCAATATATAGAAACCATTTTAGAAATAGTAGCTAGTTGAATGTAATTGAGAGTGAACAATGTGTAAAGTAAAAGTAAAAGTAAAAAAAAAAGTAATGTAAGTTGGTAATAGCAGTATGTATAATAGACGCCATGTATCTTGGGTCTTACACACTTGCAGTGGGGGTTGTTTTCGCAGAGTTTTAATTAAACAATTGCATGGTTGTCTACTTGGGCTTACGGTGTTTCTACCAATTTGGAATAGTGAACAGACAGGCCTAAAATACGTATATTGCTCAAAGGAAGGCCAGGTTTTAAGATACGTGTCTACTATTATACATACATGCATGTATGTAATGTTCAAGATTGCGATAATAATAGTTTGATTTATTCACAAATTTTTACATTCACAAATCTGTATGATGAATTTAAATATTTAAGACTGTTTCACCTTTAAGTTTAGTTTCAAACTTTTCTTTTGCTATTTGTGTGTAGTATAATTTTTTATAACTTTTATTTTAAATTTATTTTTACAAACTTTATTTTCTAAATTGCATAATTACCACGTTTTTATTAAGTCAGTTTCTTGTATGTTTGTCGTTCCGGGTGGAATTTATTGATTGATTTTAAACTAACTTCCCGATGAGCTGGAAAATTTTTTTTTGAAATTTTGAATATAGGTTAAAATTGGATGACAATGCAAGAATATGATTAAAAAACGTGGTAAAAATAAAAATAAAGTTTTTTAAGATGTTCTCACGTTAATTTTTGTATACAGGCACCAACTCCACCGCCACGGCCGCCCCTCACTACATCCGATGCGCACGCGCACAATTCACATCAAGAAGTACCTGTTGCGTATAACGACAAGGTGATGAAACATTTCTTTTCGAGTTTTTTTTTATTTATTTACTATTACAATATCTTAATCTATGTGTATTTAATAAGAATATGATACGGTTTACTAGAAACTTCACTCTCTAAATGACAATTTTTATGACACCTTCATGACATGCATCTACATAATATTTGATTTTTTTAAAGAAACTATAAAAAAAATGCGAACACCACATTAAAAATATAAATATTCAATAAAGTATACATTTGGTTTGATGTTTTATAGAAGTTAGAGGTGCCAAATAACGCATTCAGTCCGCCTATTGGTTAGTGGATGATGCTTCGTTACCAGTGAAAAGGCGCATGTGAAGTTCGCGAACACGGCCTTATAGTACTGTCCTCAACTTCTGTACATCTGATGGTAAGTGGCTACTGCAGCCCATAGTTACCTGCAACCATCTTTAAACAAAGAACTCTACAAAACGTTTTCACCTCTGAGGGTCTAAGAGAAAATGTTTTACAATCTGTAATTATACTTTAGAGCAGGGGTCAACAAAGGGCGGACCGCGGTCAGTGTCCGGACCGCCGTGCTATTTTGTGCGAACCCAGAAGAATCTAAGAATAATTAAATTTTCTTCTGTTTTAAAACACATAAGAATTTTGGATACAATTAGTATGTGGCAATAAATACCCAAAACAAAAAAATATTGAACAACATATATTTGTGAATCAGCGTTTTTCAACATCAACTTTATTAAAAATAAACTTCGATCTCCCGATGATCATCTCCAAGATTTAATGGCAATAGCTTGCACCAACTTAATTTCAGACTTCGTCGATTATTGAGATTAAAAATTCCATTTTTCGTCTTAATATTGGGAACTTACTTTTTATTTTTGATTAGATGTATCCGGAATAAAAATATTCTGATTTCGATATTAAACGGACCGCGACAGATTTATATTTTTTCAACTGGACCCGTAATTAAACTAATTGGTGATCCTTGCTTTAGAGAGTTATTACCACAGAGCAAATACAAAGAGGAGGTGTTGTAATTAGATTTCACTATGTAGCAACGCGTGACAATTTACGAGGTGAGGAGACGTTAAGCCCCGCCCACTTTACTATTTTCCATCTACCGATAAATAGTAAAACTATTCGCATCGTTCTATATCGATGTTGTAATGTAGTTAGTAGAGCATCAGAGCGTATATTTGAGTAGTTATTACATGATGAAATACAACACTTCACCCTTTTTTTCTTAATACTACCAAAATACACCGAATTGCGATTTTCAACACATAAGCGCACTAGACGAACGCTGACAGTATACTAAGTAAAGCCACACCCACTGTGATGACGTCGGGACCTAGTTAGAATCATAGTGCACAGTTGCTTATGCCATCTCCTCTTTGTATTTGCTTCGTGGTTATTGCATACAATAAAGAGATACACCCTTCAGATCGGAGCATATCCGTGCATGCACTGCTGTAGCTGACAGCATTAACTGAACACACGGTCTCTTAGTCCCAACGTCCCAAAAAAAAAAGGAAATTATAGGCAATTAACCGTAATGTAGTGCGCAATGTATATATATATAGAAGTTCTCGAATGGCAGCCTTGTAACGATAGGCGAACTGTAGGACGGCCCCTCACTAGGACGACCTGGTAAAACATGCAGGAAGTTGCCTATGTTCAGTAGCGGACTTGTGAAGGGCTGTAATGAATGAGTGAATGAATGACTGAATATGATATTGGTTGCGAGTTTACAAGGAGTTGTGGGGCAGGTGGTGGCGTTCCTGCGGCAGGCGAACATCATGTCGATCCTGCGCGAGCGCTGCGGCTGCGGCGGCGCGCTGCGCGACAAGGTGCACGCCGTGCGCGTCGAGGGCGCGCCCGCGCTCGCGCGCTTCCAGAACGACCTGCAGCTCACCTGCCTGCTCAGGTCAGTGCACTCTGAGCCCGGCTCCGTTCCTGCGGCAGGCGAACATCATGTCGATCCTGCGCGAGCGCTGCGGCTGCGGCGGCGCGCTGCGCGACAAGGTGCACGCCGTGCGCGTCGAGGGCGCGCCCGCGCTCGCGCGCTTCCAGAACGACCTGCAGCTCACCTGCCTGCTCAGGTCAGTGCACTCTGAGCCCGGCTCCGTTCCTGCGGCAGGCGAACATCATGTCGATCCTGCGCGAGCGCTGCGGCTGCGGCGGCGCGCTGCGCGACAAGGTGCACGCCGTGCGCGTCGAGGGCGCGCCCGCGCTCGCGCGCTTCCAGAACGACCTGCAGCTCACCTGCCTGCTCAGGTCAGTGCACTCTGAGCCCGGCTCCGTTCCTGCGGCAGGCGAACATCATGTCGATCCTGCGCGAGCGCTGCGGCTGCGGCGGCGCGCTGCGCGACAAGGTGCACGCCGTGCGCGTCGAGGGCGCGCCCGCGCTCGCGCGCTTCCAGAACGACCTGCAGCTCACCTGCCTGCTCAGGTCAGTGCACGCTGTGAGCCCGGCTCCAACAAAATATCCTATTTAAGACACAGTTTTATACGTGGTTGAGCCACACTGCAACTTTGTTATCCCCCTCCGCCGCGCGCGATGTGTCGTAGTCCCCACTCAACGTAACGATATCTTTGATCCTTTAGCTATCGAGTGGTGTAATTAAATATTGGATGTTTCCGACGCGGTCTACTGCAAACGCTACTTACGCGGGCAGCAGGGCCTTCTGTAATGTTCAGCGTTAATAGAAAGCGGGAAAAATGAGTAGGATTGACATATTAAAGCACATGACTATCACTCATTTTGAGTAAATTGAATTTAAATAGGGCCACTGCATAAGGTTTAGGGGGCATTTCAAAACAAAAGGGTTTTTTACTCGTTGAATTTCTGATTTTCTAAGTCGCTGAAGGCAAGAGATTTCTTAAAATAATAATAATTATTATTAGTTATTTCAGATATTCAGTATCCATAGTTACAAACAAACACAACACTAAAAGAAAAATAAATAATCATTTAACAAGACAAAAAAATAGTATTGTTATTTAACATTAAAAATTACGGGTCTGCATCCTATGTGTATAAAATTCCAATACGCGATATAGCTTAGATACGGTCACTTTTGCCTTCTCGACACTTGCCGCATCTTGTCAAAAGCACCGCCGCGACATCAAAGATCGCCGCGTGCGACGTACACCCACGCAGGAGAATTTGGCATTTTAGTGATAGGATAGGTTCTTTGCTACCTAACTTGTGTTTATTATTTTTAGTCGTATTTTTACAATAGCCATAAGACTTAAATAGTATTCCATTTTATTCTTAGAATAGAATAACATTTATTTAACGAACACAGTTAAAAATAATAAGATAAAAGCAAAATAATAAGTGTGCCACCGGGTGTACCGACACTATCTAAGACTTATATTTTAAGTGAACAGACTATACCCGACTGAATTATGTACGTATGTCTATTTCTTTGTCTAAACGGCTTGACGAATTTAAAATATGAAGTGTCATTAGATTCGTTTTAGTTGTTGAAATTATATAGGGTATAAATTTTTCTCTTTTAAGTAAACTTTATACACAGTCGGGTTTTCATTTACTGTTTTTACCATTAGGCTTGTTTGTATTATTGTTGAAAACCAGTCAGTACTAGTCCTTGCAAACATTTCAAAATAAAGGCAATTCCTATTTACTACAATACTTGCAATGGTTAAATTTAGAAATGATGAGGGGTTCACAAAGCTTAATTCACAATTCTTCGCTTATCTAGGACTCCTTAGTAGTACTTTTAACCTGTAGAAGCAATGTCGCACTGTTTCTATGATATGGTGCTCAAGTTTTAGACGACAATCCGTTAGGAGACCGAGGTTAACGATATTCATGAACAAATTTAACAAGGGTACCCAAGATATTCATGGTAGAATTACGGCTTTCAATGTCTTCGATTTATTTTATAAGGTAAGTATCTGCGAGCACAAACCACTTCCAGCTATTAAATTTCGAGATATCCTGCATTAAAATAACGTGCCACGTGTCGGTAACAAATTGTTACAAAATAATGCAATACAAATTTGTCGTGTCTCCTCAGTTTCAAAGCACTCCCCTTGTTGCCTCAGCCAGTGTCTGAATTCTCGTATTCGACATATCGAATGATGTACAGTTTCATGGTCACTTGGAAAAGAAGGCCAAATTGGCCTGTAAAAAGCTTGGCGAGCTCAGCAGAGCGGAAATGTATTTCATGCCGGCACACCACTTGCAACAGGTTCGGCCTCACATGGAATACTGTTTCCATCCCTATGCCGGGGCTCCCCAGTGCCAGCTCGTTCCACTTGACCGGATCCAGCGCATTGCAGTTCGAATCGTCGATGATCTAGTTCTTTCCGAACGTCTCCATTCACTAGCGCTGTTAAGAGATGTTGCATCCTTTTGCATATTCTATCTTATTTACTACGGGGAGTGCTTTGAAGAATTGTTCGGATTAATCCCAGCCGCCCAATTTCGCAACGCAAATCGCGACAAAACTTACGTTACCATCCACATCATCTAGATCCTTCGCAGTGCGCTACTGTGCGATTTACTAGGAGTTTTCTTCCTCGCACGACTACTTTGTGGAATCGTTTGCCATCAGTCATTTTTCCGGACAGATACGACTTAGGAACCTTCAAGAAACGAGCTTACTTATTTTAAAAGGCCGGTAACGCACCTGCAATGCCGCTGGTGTTGCAGTTGTTCATGGGCGGTGGTCGACACTTACCATCAGGTGAGCCGCATGCTCATTTGCCCCCTCTTCTATAAAAAAGTCCGAAAATTGAAAAATAACAACAGCTATTACTAAAGAATTTCGTTTTAAATTATATATACATAATAAAAATTGTTGTGACTTCTTGAGTTACTGACTGTAATATCGGATCCTACCTTATGTGCGTGTATTAACAGTAACTTGAACAATTATTCAAATTTAAAAAAAAAACATTTACTAGGGCATAAAATTACCATTACAAATATTTCCGTTCTGATTAACGTTATTACGTTAAATTTAACGTTATAAATATTAAGTTATAATTTATGATAAAATTAATGTAGATAGATAATTAAAAAAAATACTTATGTACAATGTTTTTTTTAATGTCTGAGGCATTTAATACTGCACAATAATTAAGTATAAAAAATGCATAGGTACCTGCTATACTGTCCAATATAGCTACTCACTTAATTAAATATAATAACTTAAATTAATAAATTAAGAAATTAAAAAACCCTGAAACAAAAAGAGCTGATGATCTTTAAACGGCTGAACAGATGAAATTGAAACATAGCTAAGAACAGTCTCAATTAAGATACCTTTCAATCGATAAAAACTTAGTCAAAATCAATTCACCCATTCAAGAGCTATGATACCACAGACAGACTCACAAATACCAGATACCAGATACCAGATACACACTACAAATATATAACGCCCCTCTTTTTTGTCGGGGGCTTAAGACCAAAAGAGAGCTCTTTGAGCGAAAACAGCAAATCTATACATCTGTTTGTAATGTTAAAATAACAGCTTTTTATTAAATGCATATGAAAGTATATACGGCACTAATAACAAAAAGCAATTTTTAAAATTTTTGTCTGTATGTCCTGGCTAATCTCCGAAACGGCTGGACCGATTTTGACGGGACTTTCACTGGCAGATAGCTGATGTCATAAGGAGTAACTTAGAATACTTTAATGGTAGAAAAAAATAGGGTTCCGCGCAAAAAAATTAAAACCCATGAAATCGTAGTAAATTCCATGCGGGCCAAGTCGCAAGGAATAGGAGTAAAAAATAAAATATAAAACAACAAGTTTAATAATATCGACGATAAATAAGATAATTTGAAAGCGAATCTGATTTTTGATTGATTTGTGAGTATATGCAAGTTCTATTTTTAGAACACATATTATATATTATGAAACTTCTGTTGTCAAAAAAAAATAGGCAATCTAGTGATTTGAGAATTATTTATAATGAAACCTGTATTTTCCGTACTATTGCGTACGGAAAATACAGGTTTCATTATAAATAATTCTAATAAGATAATAAAAAAATACCAAAGGAACTCAAAAAATTATTCGAGATATAGAAAACTATTTGCTATTATTTGGAACTTTTGTACTTAGCGTGTACATAATATTATATACATTATAATTTTTCGTAATCAGAACATTAATTGCTTATAGCAATAAAATCAACTGTAAAAGTGATTTAACGGAAATTAAATTTTATCTCTACGAAGAGATTGTGTCACATGTGGTTTGGTTATCTAGCCCTGAATCTGTCGTATTTATATTCAAACGTTGCCTGTTAAGAGAGAAACAGTTATGAGATATGCTAAGGAGGTATGCGTGATGCGCTCAATATTGTTTACTACCTTGATATGCGGTGCGCAGAAAGGGTAAAAGTTTTAACATGTTTTGTTAGATTAAAGACATTAGAAAAATATCTATGAAAACCAGGAAACACGGAGGCTTTAAAATTAAAAAGAAAAAGTCCCCACGAGATACCCGCACGTGTCAAAGTATTTGTAGGACATACAGAGAACTGTTCAAGGTCTAAAATCTAAAATGACAAATGTTCATGTTCCAATCATTCATGTCAATATATGATACCGACTTTTAGGGTAGAGGTTGCTTAAAGAAAAAGTGATTTTAAAATAAAATATAGTTTTTTTATTTTTGAAAAGAAGGTATATCATGTAAGTTAGTAAGGGAAATAAAAATACATGGAGGCTACACAAATATCGATGACGGATATAATGCATATTGTAACTGGGTAATATCATACCAAAATCATAGAAAAAACAACATCCGCGAAACTTTTTTTTATCGTTTAATATGATATAAATAATTCTGCTATTCAGGCTCCGTTCATCTGATGGTAACGGTAACATGCGTACATGACGAGGTAGAAATTAGTTTATCGGTTAATATCAGCT